AAAAGTCTGTTTGATTTGCAACTTTGTTATAGGTAGTCGCCCTTTGTCCCGCGGTAATGTTTCAAATTGAAATGGCGCTCGTCTCTTGCTCTCTCTGTGTCTGTCCCTCTATGCCTCTCGTTCGCTATCAGTCTACCTGTCTCTTTCATTTTCCTTCTCATTCTCTTCGTCCTTTCTCTTTCTTTATTTTTTTGTTTTATGTTTTAGTCTATTTCTTTTATTCCCCTTATACTTCTCTCTCATTTTTTTTTCGTTCTTGTTCTTTATTACATTAGTCGACTCGCAATAAGCAGTTGCACTCCCTCGCCACGCCCACCCAGGTCCTCAACCCTTTAGACTCCATAGGCCCTTGAAGGTCATCCCAATTCGTGAGCGTCCTTTGGGAAACTCCTGTCACTGCAGCAGTGCCTTGCCTCCTCATTTCCTCTAACCTGCAGCTGAGGGTGGCTCCTTTGATGCCTGAGGTTAGTTGTAGCCCAGTTGCTTTCAGCACTTGCCCACCAATGCCACGAACGTTGGACAGTGTGCCAACATCACCAAGGTTGCGTGCGACAGTTATCGCCACACCCTTGATGATGTCGCTTACCACGTGCGTGTGGCGTAGGGTTCCACTATTCCTTTCTAATACTTTTGCCCTGGTTATAGTAACAGCTGTTCGTGTGGTAGTCCAAGCTCCACCAGCTGCCGGGGATTACCGTTATCTACAACCGGGAATTGTCGGATTTCTGATATTCACAGATCTTATATATAAATCCGCATAAGAACCGCTTTGCAAGTGTTAGTCCATATTGTCCTTAAGCATGCATGTTTATTTTTATGTTCATTACCTGTCATAATCGTCGATTTATTGTTGCATATTTAATGTGTTTAACATTTTCTTATGTAACGAGCTGCATGATAGCAGTATTGTTTCACAGTTCTGTTTTGTTAATATTGTATGTTCATCGAAGGCTAATTTTAATTTCTTTGGGATGATATCATTACCATTTAAATTCCAGGAACTATATTGTCATCTCCCCTTTTCACAATGAAATTCACGACACGCCGTTTATGGCCCGACGCTCGCCAGCTCGAATATCAGGCGGTCCTATGGGGCTCCCTCTCAGCCTACTCCCAGGCATCCTCGACCCAGTGGTGAGGCCCCTGCCTTCGGTCTGCAGCCTCTGGGATATGGCCACGTCCCCTCCCGGCTTTACTCCAGTCGACAGACACTTCCCCACCTCCCAGCTCCACGTCGCGACCTGACCCAGTCCGCCGCAGTACAGTACATACACATCATCCTCTTTGTTGTTAATAAACTATCAACAGCTAGAGACTCCTCTCTCCCCCCTCTCTCTATTTCATCTCTCCTCCTCCTCTCTTACATATCTCTGTTTCCTATCTGCTACTCCCCTCCCTTACCTCTCTTTGCTTCAATTCTCTCGTTCCCTTCCACTTTCCATCCCTCTTTTCCCTCTTCTCTCCTTAACTCCTTCTCTCTCTCTCTTCCTCTCTTTCACTTTCCACCTCTTCTCCGATCTCTCTTTTTCTCTCTCATCCCCGTTTCTCCACCACTCCTCCCACCCTCCACCTTCTTCCCTCCCTCTCTCCCTCTCCCTCTCCTTCTCCCCTCCTCTCCCTTCCTTCCTCCCTCTCCCTCTCCCTCTCCCTCCCTCCCTCCCTCCTCCTCTCCCTTCTTTCCTCCTTCTCCCCCCCCCCCTCCGACGTCCCACAACGGGTGACAGAGACCATCAGCGAGTACTGGAAATAACCCCTACCTCGATGGTCCCCGAGCGAATGGCGTCCGGACAGCGGGGTCGTGATGACTTGGAGACTGTCCATATCACCTCCTGGCTTCTGCGAAATAGAAATGAAAAAAAAAAAGAGTTTTAAAAAGTGACGTTGTGTTAGTATTTTGTTTTTTTTTTTTTTTTTCATTTTATGAATTAGGTGTTTTTGTGTTAGTATTTTGTTGTAATGTTAGGTTTTGATAGGTGTATATATTATCATTTTAATTTATATGACATATTCTATGTATAGTGCCATTACATGCAAAAAAAATATCTATATTTATTGTACACGCTTACACATACTCACACATCCACACAAACACACAGATGTACACACACACACACACACACACACACACATACACACACACACACACACACACACACACACACACACACAAACACACACACACACACACACACACACACACACACACACACAAACACACACACACACACACACACACACACACACACATACAAAAAATACACGACAGACTAGCACATGTTTAATGATTAACTACATTCCTCCCTCCATTGTTGCGGTTAAGAGATTAATCATCTTTTTGCACATGAAACAACTAAAGCAAATTACAAAAAAAAAGAAAAAGAAAAAAAAAATCTCCCCTCTCCTTTCTCCTCTATCCACACCCTTCACTCACTGCTCTGTCCCTCTTCTCCCCCTCTCTCTTTCAACCGTGTCTTGTTGTTTTCCCCTCGTTCTGACGCCT